ATAAATTGATGAAGTACCACAAATTGGAAAGCAGAACGAAGTTGTCGATTACCAATCTGCCCGCAAGCGACAATTGAGTTGTAGTCCAATGTTTGAGTTTCTTAGTGATTTTGGCCGCCAAAAACGCATCAACATTCACCGTTTCTAGCATAACTCCAAATGATGTGCATAGCGGTTTTGACAGCTCTTCAAGCGCAGCAATCTGACATCTAAAAGAGTTCACTCACTGAGGAGGACCTGCATTGCCGAACCAATAGAGGGCACATTTGCCTCTATTCAAGCGAAGCTCGGTTGCTTGTCCGAAGTCATCCAGCAGCGTTGAGACCGCTTCCAAGTACCGTTGAGATCCTTGGAGTGTGAAAGTAGTGTTATCTGGTAATTGGGAAAGAGTGTGTTGGATCGCTCCATCGACTAACTTGATGTCTTTGAGGCGGCCTGACACCACCACACCTTGAGTTGCATACACGAGTGCTTAGGCGATGATAAGAAAGAGGAACAGCGCTAACGGGCAACCCCGCTGAACACTCCACCTGATTGTACACATCCTATTAATTGACACTGTTTCTGATGCATCTTCAAGAAGTAGCTTTACAATCGTTACAAGTGTCTCCGGAATACACATCCGCGTCAAAGCTTGGAATAAAAGATCCCAATTCACATAATCATACGCTTTTGCAAAATTGAGTTTCAGCATGATTAGTGCTTGGTTCGATTTTTTTGCTCACGCTATTGTTTCATGCTGCACCAACACTGTGTCTAAGATATAGCGAGTAGGGAGCAAAGCCGATTGATCCTCATGGATCATTTTGGGAAGTATAGCCTGAAGACAATTTGAATTGTCTTTGCCAAAATTTGGTAGGCACTGTAAAACTTTGTGATGGATAGTCAGTTTTGAAATATTCCAAATCTCCATCTTTCGACTATAGCACAACTAAATTTTATTCATCCCTGGTGGCAGCTTTCCATTAGCAATTAATTTGATGATCATAGTCGTAATTTTATGTCCGTGAATATTTCTAAATTGAAGATAAAATTTTGTGAGGATTCCATCCGGCCCAAGCCTCTTTTAGTTTGACATCTGGTCGAATACGTTACGCAATTTTGCATTATATGGAGTACTCCAGGCTGACTCTCACTCAGGTTTATCTGAGATGGCTTTGTGGTAACTCATCATGGTTCTAGAAGACTAGGATTCTCACTCAAATTTGTGTCTCAAACATCCTCTCACACAAAGTCTTCATACATCACTCAATTCACACAAACTCTCCTCACATCACTCCATTCACATAAACTCAAACACACATCGATACTCCAAGATATTAAAAAACCTCACTTCTTCATTCGTGAAACAAGTCCTCACATTTGTTCTTGCGTTGGACCGTGGTATATCCTTCTACGATGGTTGCGGCTGTTGGTATGGAAGCCGTCTTGGACAGTATCTTCTTCTGCGCCAATCCTGCATGTACGGTTGAGCATTTTTGGCCTGTTGAGTTTGTGGTTGCATCTGACCGTTTGGTTGTAGCCGTACTGCCTCAGCTACCCCATTTGCCACCTCTACACCTGGTCCCAGATTGCGCACTACACCTTGTGTGGGTATCCCCTGATTGATTTTAGGGCAGTATTCTATTCCATGTTGGTGGTTCTCGTAGAATGTGCATTTGAGTACAACTGCTTGATAGTGAACAGGGATCCTTGTGCTAGCGTCTGATCCGATGAATCCAACCACATTGAACGTCCATCCTTTGCTTAAATCTATGCTCACGCAAAATTTGGCTATGACATCCCATGTTGCGTCTCGGTGCTCCACGTACATTGGTACCACCTGTTCGGCCACTTTGTACAAGAGTTGTTGATATTCGACAGGCATGTCCAGGAATGAGATTCACATGGACCATATTAATCCTAGTGAATACCAAATGCGTGGATTAAAACCCTGAATTCATCGCTGGTAAATCATTGATTCCCCTTGGAAGCTATGATATCCCGTAGCCAACACGCGTTTGGTAGTTTCAAGTCCATTTGTGTGAACGTAGGCAAAGTGAGGTCCCCACGCAGCGGAAAGAGGAAACGATTCTCAAGGCCACGATCTTGCAGAGTGAACTCCACCAGGGTTTCGCTGCCGCTCCTTGTAGCTGCCCATCAACGATACAAGCGATAACGACATGTTCGGTGAACATGGAAATTGCCGTCGCGACTACACCCTGAGCTTTTCCGTTGAGTGTGAATGTGGTAACGCCCCTAGCCATTAACCCTTGGTAGTTTTTGAGCGTCCCACGCGGCAGTACTTCTCCTCCATTCATGTGAAGTGGGTGAACAGGGCTACCTCCAAAGTGATCACGGTTAAGAGCCGTACTAAGGGCGACAAGATTGGGATCTAGTACTGTTGCATTTTGAACTTGCCCTACCTGTGGAGACCATGTCAAAGCCTCCTTGTAGCTCGTGTTCTAAGCGGCCATGATGACCTAAACCTAGTACTACTATTGAACGGAAAAGCAAATCTTCAAACAAAGCCTATCTTCCAAATCCTTGAGAGAATGCGCTTTGGATTCAATGTGGTGCGAACATCAAAATTTGCTTACGAGCTCCGCACGGCGGTGCTGTCATCGCGGCGGCTGTGCGCCTGCGTCTGCCATCGCTTAAGTCCTATGTCACCTCTCCCTGCTAACACTTTTTGAGTCTTCAACAATCCATATTTGAATGTTTGAAAAAAAATTTATGATACAAAAAGTGAATAAAGTTTCAAAATTTCAATTCATGAGTATATTTTTTTATCTATTTTTGGATATAATTGATTTCATTTAGCTCTTATTTTTATCAGATTTCATAGTTTTAGTTTTCATCTTTATATAAATAATTGATCAAATTTTGGTAATAATTAAGCTAATTGAGATGATGCTATAGACTTTTTGAATCTATGTTCATAGTATCAAAACATATATTTTTTGATTTCATATTAGATATAAATTATCTTGTATTATTATTTATTCTGGTCAACTCAATCAACAAATTTATTAAAAAATTTAATACTTTTTGAATATTTTTTAATAAAGAAAGGTTTTTCAATTTACAATTTTATTTATTAAAAAAATTCAAAAATTTATAAAAAGTATCATTATAACTCAGCATAAAAGCAAAATGAAAATGAACATTTGTGAAATTTTTTTTTGAATAAGATGATTATTTTTATCTATTTTTATTTTACAATTTATTTTTTATCAAGTAATTTCTTAACATAGTTATTATATGTTTTTTGAATAAATAAATTCAATCAAAATAATTTGATGCAATCTAATCATGTAAATTGAAAATTTTTCAAAAATGTAGGTTTTCCATCTTATATATATAATAATTATAGACAAGAGATATATTTATATTACTTTTAGGTCTATAAAAACTTCAAAGTATTGTTTATCAAAAAACTTTATGAAGAAAATGAAACAAACATGTTGGATTAAAAATTAAAATTTCAACTTTAAAAATTAAGCTTATGTTTAACTCATCTTTTTGAAAAAAAAATTACTATAATCTAATACGAAATGATTACGTTTCTACAAAAACTGGTAATTATGAATCTTTGATGATTTTTGTTGCTTTTTGTTTTAGCTTGAATACAAAAGATTAATAAAAATTAATGTTGGAATGACTTCAACTTTCTTATGAGATTTATTTGTGTGTATTTAGTTATATTTGAATTAAAATATATAAAAAAAACCTAAATTCATCAAAAAAAATTATCCCAGATATTCATTTACAAAATTTTGATCTGAATATTTTGAGGTTGAAATTTTATTAATTTGATTATGATAAATTAGACTACTTACTCTACCACAATATAAGAGAACTTACATCAAAACTTTACGTAGTACTTGAGTTTAACAGCTGTTTTCCATAAATGAAGCCTCGCTTAGATATATCACGCAATACTTGTGTTTTTTTTTTCTGGAAAATATTGTTATTATGTATATCTTTATAAAGTTACAAATAATATAGGAGGATGAGGGCTTTCATTGATAATTTACAAGTTCAATTTTTAAAAACTGAAAATTGAACTCGTAACGTATTAATGGTACAAGCATGATAGATAATTAATGTTCAAGCAATTCAATGGTTGATAATTTCAAGATACTTGATGGCAAGAGCGTTTATTGATAATAATTTGAGAGTGGCAGGTGGTTGCGAAAGCAATTTAAAAATTGTGCAACCTGATTTAGCATTTTAAGACTCTTTTAAATAGGGCCATTTAAAACATCGAAAGTATTGCAAACTGACTGGATAATAAATGCCGTGTTTGTATGCAATTTGAACACTAGTACTTAAGCTCTAGCTGTAGATCTCTTAACAGTGATATTTGCAAGAATTGTGAGATACATGTGATACTATTTTAAATTTATTTTAAGAAAATATTTTCATCAACATGTTTCACTACTAGTAAAGATACAGCGTGGCTAGGACTCTACAGAAAATGAAAGCACTTGACATAAATGATTCTTCTCATGATATGTGTAGAAGAGAATGTCACAAAAGCCTTATGGATAGCCCAATAGATGTACCAAATATATGGGAAGGTACTCCCAGTATTTAAAAAATTGGAGATTAAAATATAGATAATATAAAAATCATATTGAGAAATGTGTATTCTAATACTTATATTTCAAAAATCAAATTACATATAAATTATATAGCATCCATATTTACCATTACCATAACGAATATCTTAAATTATAAACCAATATTATAAGAAGAAAAACTAACTACAATGGAAAATTATATTTTTTTTAGTCAATAAATGAAGTAGATTAAGATACATTCCGAAACTATTGGGATAAAACTTGCTACCCATATGGTTTCATCCATGTTCGTGTTGATGGGTTGTTACCATTACCTTTACCATAAAACTTGTGCTCCATCGTTCTTCGATACGATGCCTGCACTCTACTCGACGAGTTCCGCGCGAATGTTAGGACATGAGCTACACGGTAAACGCCGTGGAAACGATTGAAGTTGGAAGGCGTAAGCACGACAACCATGTAAAGTACGCGATGGACTGTAACCACATCTGAACCCCCGAGTAACGAACGAATCGAGGAAGGTGCTAAACCCTGAAGCCCTCCCTCCCTCCCTCCCTCCCTGACTCCCCCAACGAAGCTGACGGACCGACGATCCAATTTCTGGAGTTTTTTGTGCTCAGGCAGGTGGACCGAGAACTTTGATTCGTGGCGACACAAATTCATTCCCGTTTTTTCAGTGGAGTAGGCAGGTCGGTTGATCGAGGAGTTCGGATTCCAGAAGTTTGTTTTAAGGAGGGGCTTCGATTATGACGACTGTCACCAAGCAAAAATGCCAGAGAATTGGCTGCGATGTGATGTTTACGGCCGATGATAATCCTGAAGGTTCCTGCCGGTACCACCCTGGGGTAAGTTGTGTGGACTAGCTGGCGCCTGTAGGTTTATTACTCCCTACATTGCTCCGAGCCTTTGTGGCCGCTGAAAGCGTTTAACCCGAACGATCTCCGTGGATCCTTGATTTGTCTTTTATTTTTGTGCAAAGGTGTTCTTCACTTGTACACTGGGTATTCTAACCCTAGATAAGAATTAGGTTGAAGACATTGCCATGAATAAGGCCAGAAATCATTTCCATGGCACTGAATCAGTCTGCATCTGAACCAAATGACAATTCTACCCTCGTCAAGTATTCGAATTCTCGCATAGTGTCGAGAGAGGTTTTGCTTATGCCAAGATAACAGGCTTCACAAGGATCGGTCATTGTCACTTTCTGAGATTTTGTGTAACTATTGAACTTATATGCATACTTTTAATCAGCAATCCATCCCCGTTCACGCACAGTTTTTGCTGAAATAATACCAGAATAGTCGGGTGTTTTTCCCAGTCTAATTCTTTGGTTTCAGCTGTAGAAGCTCGTGTGAAGAGTTATTAAGCGGTTACTCTGTGATTATAATCTGAAATTCTAAGCATGGCAAATGCCGCTGATCAGTAGTCCTTGTTCTGATCGATGAGTTCTTCCTTGTATACATGGACATGGGCGATACCTCTCCGTCCGCTTCTTGATTGTGGCACTGAAACGCAGCCGGTATGTCTCAGTTATCCATGCCATTGATCATTCAGTTTATTTTGAAGATCCTCTTTGCCTTTGAGGGTTTGTCATGTCCTCGTCCTTGTGTTCACAAATTTTTGACAGTTTGTTGTGTAGAAGCATTGTTGCATCTTGAATTCCTTAGATTTGCAGCGAGAATCACGTCAGATATAATTCTCGTCAGAATTGCCAGTCTTACTTGCATACGTTGTCACAGCCCTTATTTCACGACGGAGGGAAAGAATGGAGTTGTTGCAAGCAACGTAGTCACGACTTCAGTCTCTTCTTAGAGCTTCCAGGGTAAGAAATTCACACCGATGTATGTCTTGGATAAGTCATTCGACTTAATGTTCACAATTGTTCAGGACACGTACATTGATGGTTTCAGTACCCCATTTGAAAGTAGAGGGGATGTACGAGTGCGATTGAAGAAAAATAAAGGTAGACAGATAGACCATGCGCTAAATGTTTACAACAAAAGGTGTGCACATAACATGAGTCAACGGTCTGTGTGCTAGTGGTTCCGTTTGTTTGATTTTGCAGATGCAAAACTGGTCAACATACTTCTGAGAAACCTTTACCGAAGATAGCTCCAAGTCCGAACAAGCCAGTCCCAGTCAATGTAACCAGCGACGCAGCTGCAAGCGCCAATTGTAATCGGTGCAGACAGGGTTTCTACTGCTCTGATCATGGTCAGTGTCCTATCCTAATCGGAGAAGCTCTATGAGCCTGGCCGCGTCTATATTTAGGAGCTGGCAAAAGAATATATGATATTATGAAGAACTATGGAATGTCACCTCCTGTTTTTCGCTAGCGAGAATGAAGTTGTAACCTGATAGTTGAAGTCGTTGGTTGTGTAATATGCAGGCTCAAGACTTCCAGTAAGAGTTTCAGCTCCTGCTCCAAAGGTGACTCCTCTTGCAGCTGTTGAAAAGAAAGTAAACGTACCTGCTCCTCGCAAAATCGTGGACCTGAACGCAAAACAGACCTGCAAAAACAAAGGCTGTGGTAAAGAGTTCACAGAAAAGGAGAACACAGATACTGCATGCAGTTTTCATCCAGGTCCCGCTATATTTCACGACAGATCGAAAGGGGTAAGCAACTGCAGCCTGTATTTCTGTCCTATCATTTTCTGGAGTTTATATTGCGAAAGATAGACGACAGGCCAACATGTCTTGATAGCTGGATCTGTTTTGGGAGGCACTAAAATCTTTCAGTCTGTGTGCTTTGACAGTGGAAATGCTGTGATACTCACGTGAAGGAATTTGAGGAATTTTTGGAAATCCCCCCGTGTGCAAAGGGATGGCACAATGCAAATCCCGACGAAGTTTAGGACTTACAAGGTTGTTAGGAGTTCCGGTGTGCTGAAAGTCGACGAGTCCTGCCCAGCTCGCCAGCCCACTTTCTTCGGTCGAGCCGAGAAGAGTTTACGTGAAGCTGTCACATCCCTCGGACTTTTACCTGTCCCTCCTGATCAGGGATCAGGCATTAATTATAGATCTAGTGTAGGAGTATTGGGCCGCTTGTGGAGCTTTCGAACTGCGAAGAATGATCTTTTCTCCAAGGCCAACTTCATTTTAAGAATCACAAATGTATGCTCAAAAGATTGTTTGTCGAGCTGTTCCGAGCGTTGAAAGCCTCGCAGAGGTTTTAGAGTATTACAGGAACAGACAAACGTTTGAAGTTCGGAGCGCAACGGTCGGTGTCTCCAGGATTGTAAACACTGGGGATCTGAGCAATTGTAATTGAAGATGTGGTGACATATGGTTTTATGGAACTCCTTCATTTCTTATCGTGAAATGCTTTCTCGATTCTGGATGTGTCCAGGTGAAGAAAAGAACTTAAGTTAACACCCTTTCTACTTCTAAAAAATACGTTTACTTTCTCCAGATACACGGTGAAACTATAGTTTCTCAGCTTTGTTGTCGAAGCTGACAAATTTTAATTGTGATTTCCGGTCTGCAAAGGAAATAATTGGTTGCCTGAAGATGTAGAGCTAGAGCTACATCGACCTGGAGTTTTAATCAAGCGGAAACTGCTAGTCCTTTATACATGAATTTCGTGGAAGTAGCTCATGTAGTGTCACCTACAGTGGCACGAGTGTGAGCGTCGATCATGTATAAAGCTCATGATCGCGCTATGAATAAAACAAAAGAACAAACCGAATTTCAATAAACTGCGTGATGAACTAGAGTACAATTAGAGTAGATTCAAAACTGCGTCCTGCTAATGAGGTTAGATATCTTTATACAAAGGTTTACTGAGTACAGGCTCTCCACAGCTAGAGAAGGTTCCAGCAGAGTCTCGGTCTGGAGTTTGGTTCGCATGGAAGCGAATTGGTCGAAGTTTCACTGGCAGTAAGATTTGAGCCCCGAATGGCAAACGTAAGCACACACGTGAGACACGAGTACCCAATGATGAGAAATGGTGTCAAGTGAGGTCAAATGGAGATTAAGTGTTGGACACAGAATATGCTCATCTAACTTCATTTGCAAAGCTCTGGCATCCAGCGGCGACGTGGTAACCACGACGAGTCACGTCATCCGCCCCGCAGTCGAACTAACAACCACAAACCCTCCCGACCAAGTCTGTAAATGCATATAGATCCAGTACCACGTTCTCGGGCCGAACGCGGTCAGATCGTTCAATGAAACCCCGTCCACTCCCATGCGCGGGAAGAGTGTGTCCGAGCGATTTCATCATGACGCCGCCATCGAAGGAAGCTTGGTGCCAAATTTGTCGTTGTCATCCGAGAACGACTTCTTTTCTCGTTGCAGTGCGACGACGAATCTCTCCTGCCCAGCAGCACCTGAGCCCGGGGGACGGGGTAAATCCGCCAGATCCAAGGTAAGGTCTCCACGAGAAATACAGCGTTCCAGTCAGCGGTAATACGCCTGCATCGCTTGTCAGAAAGTGCCGAGAAGCTGAGCGTGCGTGACAATCAACAGTTTTAATTAGAGGATTCTAGACTGATGCGTGGCCTTTGATGATCCCACGTGAAGGAATGGCCACGGCCAAGTCTTGCCTACACGTCACCGGTACCGGGCGTTGGGGGGACCGGATCGCTCCTCCGCCTGCGTCTATGGACTAGCGACGATGGCTATGAGAGGAGAAGAAGACAGGAGCGGATGAGGACGTGGGGCCTGCAGAATCACCGTTTATTCCAATTGGGCTCTTGATTGAAAGCTTCCGTGAGCGGTCGTGTTTGGTCCTCTGCTAGTTCCGCAGGTGCTGAATCGACCGCGGGGCGGAAATGTTTGAATGTCTACAGCCATGGCTTTCCAGTTCGCTACCCGACTCAGCATTCGCATATCTTCTCCCGTGGGCTGCCTGGGTTCCAATAGCGCACCATCATTGCCACCACCGGAACCACCACCACCACCGGAGGCACATTGCTCTGCGAGCATCCGACTCTGAGCTTGATTCGCTTTTGAGGAGCTTTTGCCATTGAATCTGCTCCGCACCTCGTGCGTGTGCGCTTGCGCTTGCCGGAAGGTGGAGCTAATCCTGCACTCGTGAGTGAGCGTTTTTCGAATTCCGAGCGATGGCTTCCTCTGCCGCGCTGGTCCTGCCGAGCGCAACTTGTGCACCGTCCGGATTGCGCCATCCGCCTGTGGTCAATGCCTGCGCAGGTGCGCCCTCGGTACCGACAAGCATAGCCTTCGTCTCTGGAGCTTTTGCCGGACAGCGCGTGTCCCAACGAGTGTGGAATTCTAGAGTGACCGAGAGGGTCGCGAGCGTCAGCGTGCGAGCAAGCGCTGCCGAGTCCACGAAAGAATTGGAGCGTTTTTCCGCTAAGGGAGACCTTTTGCTTTCGGTAAGCCCCTTTCCTTTTCCAGTCTTAATTCCACAAGAGGAAGACCTCGCACTTGTTGCAGAGTCTTGTTGCCAAGAGATATCAAGCCGCGGAGGATTCTTGATTTGCTCGAGATTCTTTGTGACTACTTTGAGTAACGTGCAATTACACCAGCACTAGCGACGCCTCGTTGTCCAGTGACATCAGCCTCATGTCCATTGGTGTAAATTTTCAGATCAAGGATGCTGGCGGATTGAAAGGGTTGGGCGACCGCAAAACAGATTCGTCTGCGAAAATAGACGTGAACGAGAAGATTCTTGTCTTGGAACGGATGAACCCGACACCCCGACCAACAACGTGAGAACTTCACTCTGCCTTCCCGTTCGTGGTGGTCATTACTTTATTTCACCTGTTATCTTCGTATACCTTCAGAGACTGTTGGAGTGAATAGTGGATTGCAATTATCGTTATTGTTATGTACCTCGAGCCTTCCAAGGATTCGTTCAAGTCTTAGTAAATTTTCATACAAAGGATCGGGTGTCATCGAATATTAACGTGTTTAGATACGAAAAGCGAAAACTGAATAATTTGTTTATGCGAATATCGGAATTGAATTGTTCAGTTCTCCATTTCTCGAGGGGCTGTGGGAGTTTCAGTATGCAGGAGCTCGGAGTCCTGGTCTTGTAGCGGCGAAGATTCTCCTCAAGTAAGACTTTTTGGAACTTGTGGATTAACTCCACCAATTAGTTTTGAGTTGTAAAAGTCTTCAGCCTGCTATACTTCCAGGAAATCTCGTTCTGAGATGGAGTGTGGATTGTCAATTTTTAAATAAATGCAGCGATTGTTGGAAGGGAAAACAGTCGGTAAATAGGCATGCAGCTGTAGTGGAATGACTGAAGAGGAATTCTCCAAAGACACCGGCCTTGTTTCTTATCCTTTCTTATTTTTATATTCTCACGCCCATCAGTTTCCTGTCAAATTCAAAGTTCTAAAAGATTCCTGCTCTGGTCTCCGTAACCTTCGGAAATCTGGTTGTCCAAAAATACTAATTTTTTTGGCTTTTTCCTCCTTAACAAGCCAATATTGTACACATAATACTGACAATATTAGTATTCCATCTATTTTCAGGAGGTTTCCATCTGCACTCGCTTCTCTTACATCCCTCACTCTCACGATTCTTGACGGGGAGAACGCCAAGGCCACCGGTACTTTGAAATTCTTCAATTCAGTAAGTTTTTTTTACCTCAGACGTTTACAAAAGTCTGCGAAAACATCTTTCTGAGTGCGCAAGTCATGCATCTTGATAGAGTGCTTGAAATCTGGATATTGATTTTTGATTAAGACACAAAAGTAAGCTAAGAATGAGATTTTTTGAACTACGAACCAGCGTATCACTGGCAGTCTTCACGTTGGCAATTTGCCTGTCCGAACGAACAAGAGAATGCACATAGTAGGTAACTGGTGGGTGATACATATGCTAGAGGTCCTTTTTCTACTGATATATAGTTTTGTACGGATGAAGTGGCAAGACAATAAAGTGTATCACTTATGTTGCGACAATTTGAGTAACGAAGGCACCTATGTTTGCAGGTGGAGAGTAGTTTCACCTTGACAACGAAGCTTGCTGTCGAGGGCCCAGTGAAACTGAAGGAACAATATGTTGAAGGTCTTTTTGCTCCACCAACTGTAACTGAAGGAAACATTCCGTCACAGTTCAAAGGAATTGCTGACCAAATTGCTTCAGCTGTCGAAAGGTTACCAAGTTCAGTGAAAGAAGTTATAAATGGTGGAGTTAAGCTGCCCTTGAGTAAGTGCCTGGTCTATCAGGCTTCTCTTCATACCTGTAGATTTTCATATCATATGACATATACCCAGTCATCGTTCTTATCATTGTTATATAGCTCATTGGACCAACAACATCCTTGCCTTCCACGTAGTTAATTCTCTGCGTACTTTAATATTCATCTGAAATAGAGCAGAAAAGATTCTGACAGTGTACATGTGGATGGGATGATGATTTGTGACAGCGAACACATTTTCACGCGAGCTGCTCATCTCATATCTAGATGAAGAAGTAATGGTAAGCATCCGTAAGGTTTTGAGATCATCGTGAAAGTTTTAGGTCTCAAGGAAGTTCTGACTGGTACCGCAGCAGCTGATGACATATGTTCACCTCCTTCTAGGTCGATCGGCGTTTGCCACCTGACGTTACTTCCCAAGGATTTCGTATGCTTTTGACATTTTTTACGAAGACTTCAATCGTTTTTCAACTCCTTTCATGCACTCCTTGATGACATATCTAATGTTGGAAGTGCCGGTCTTTGTTTTTAGGTCGTGCGGGACAAATCAGGTATACCAGACGTTCTTGTACGCATCGAGGCACCAGCCACAGACATGGCACCTGTAGTTGTTGTACCCGAGTACGTCAGCTGATAAAACAGACTTATTCATACCCTCAAGCAGGGTGTAATAGCTTTCTGTACATTATGAGAGATCATCTTTCACCTAGTAGCTTAGTTATACGATTGAAACTTTGTGATTGTGATAGCACTAGCGGCTCACCGCTGTGGAGCAAATACTTGTGCTTCTGATATATTGGTAATACTCACAAAAAAAAAATGGCCTAAGATTGTTCTTCGTCTATCCGACTTCCAGAGTCGGTGTTCCATATACTAGAAAACGTTATGGACCGACAAGCTTCCCCGAACACAGTGATTGCTTTTATTGGTCGTAGTGGTTCTTCTTTCTTAAAGTTTCAGCGTTATCCTTTCTAGTTGGATGTATAAAAAAGTAGGTGACCACTGGTCAGGTCTTTATCATGTGTTTCGGCTGCAAACTTGTCTTTGATCCAGTGTACAAATAGGTGTCAGCAGCCACGGGTTTCACTCACACCTTAGTTCGTGCCCGCAAGTTAGTCGAACCAGTCTGTTGTGCACACATTCTGATAGTTTTCACGATCTTGAGAACAGGAGATATTAGAAACATGAAATGCCGGTGTAATCTCGTAAATCTGGAGGACTACTGGAGAAGATCTTCATCTGCAATGCTCTGGAGAGGAAGAGAGAGTTGTATCTGAGGATAAGTGTCAACAACACGAATGAATCCGTGGACTGAATAGCATGGCTCCTAAGTAGAATAATAATATCTAGTAAACATCAGTTGAGCTGGGAAACGTGGTTGTATCGAACAAGTTGTCGATAAGATCTGACTCATTCAAAGCATCTGGCGACTTTAGTATCTTGAGAAAGGACCAGGAAAAATTGACCACACACTAAACTTGAGAGCTCAACACAACGTCAGCCTATTCTTAACCAGGACTGTAGGCGAATAAAGGTGAAGGGTCTTGGTCCATTTTTCATTTGTCCTAGAAAATTCATGGGCCGGAAATTCGATTTCGCCCAGCGCAAACTCAAACGTCGCTTGTATTTGAAATTCAGTCAGTAACTGTGCAAATCGCAGCGAAGTCACGGTATGGGTTGCGCATCAGACGAAAGACTGAAGCAAGTGAATTTTGTATCAGATGTCACTTCCCGACAGAGTACAGTGTAGAATATAGGATAATATGAACGTCAATTTGGGATATGGAATGAATGTTCTGGAGTTGTGGAACCAGGGATGATGGTATCTCGCAAACTAATCTTCCATAGTCAGGGAGTTCGGCTTGGGCTGTGTGCTCACATTGCAGAAAACTAGAGATTTTGTACACACTAGAACTTCCTTAGCTATGTCAGAGTCAAATTCATGGATTATAATTTTAAGGTTATCGTAGCAGCATCGGAACCGTGAATATGACAACCAGAGAGGATACAGTATCACATTAGGAGCTGACTCCCCCATGAGTTTGGATAGGGTTGAACTCAGTGTCCTGAGAACCAAAGGTCCTGCCTGGGTACCTGAAAACTGCAGATGCGATCACTGAAGTATCGCAGTGCGACCAGGTACCAAGTCAGGTGCATGCCAGACTCCAGGTGTAAATGGAGTTCTGATCTCGTTGGCAAAGTTGATAATAGAGAGATAAGGAAATAAACAAATCTTAAGGAATGGTCCCATTCCTGATCACAGCTTTCTGCTTATGTCACCACCGTCTGAACAACAGAATACGCTCCGGGTTTTTCTGAGGGGTGAAAGAGATAGCCCACTGGGTCCTGTCATACATGGGGGCGAGGGTGGATTGATTGGAGGTCCACTCGACCAGCACGTTCCGAGTCAGAGTGAAACAGACTCACCGCAGCACCTCGAGCTTCCTCTGGGAGTTACGCGGGGCAGAGCGGGGGATTAGGAGGTCTCATGCAGCACGACGTCTCCAGTAAGCACGGCGAGGTGTACGTGCTGCTGCTGCTGCTGCTCATCTCGCCCCTGTTGCCGATCATGCGCAGGCCCTTCATAAGGGGCACCGAAACGGACACTGCTGGATACATCCGAACAGTTCAGCGTTGCGCCGGATCGAAGAGGAAATATCGAACACGCCGATCGACGATTAATTGCGACGATGCGACGAGACGCTGCGTAGGTCTTCACGAGATGCGTTTACTCTCGGGAGCAGCGACCGAGCGGGCATGCATCGTCCTCCTCGGGCTGAGGCCAAAAGATAATAGCCGAGGGAGGCATCCGCCGAATACTTTTGCACAACTGGAAACATTGAACATTAAAAGCGACGCGTTCGGAAAAGCTTATTCAGATGATGACTTTACATTCAAACCCCGTCCCATGCTCGAGGCATGCGGACATCGAAGACTACAACACGAGCTCGCCGCTCGACGGTCCACCGCCGCCCCAGCCAGCAGCTGCGAAGCAAAGGCTTTTACAGCACTTCGGGAACAAAATAATTAACACTGGAGATCAGTATTAAAGCCTAATCTCGTTGAGACTAATTTGGTATCATTAGACTCGGACCTAATGTGCCATGGGCAGAAACCGTCGTCGAATCAAATGAAGCATAACAGATTCTCAAAAGATGCGGTCATGAACATCGAGGTTGATATGGCGGCGTCCGACTGCGTAAGTTTGTCGAGAGTGGGAGAGAGATGGAGTGAAAGAGAGAGTGCGAGTCAGAGGGAGAGCAAGCGGTCTCCGCACGACACAATGACAAGAGCAGCAGCAGCAGCAGCAACAGCAGCAGGAGGTTCTTGTACAGTCCAGTCCCTTTCGTGGACCGTCGAGGTTCCCGTCGGACGCTGCTTCCTGGTCTCCGCTTTATTCTGCAGGCTCTTCAGACCTCGAACAAAGTCAAGGACTGCACTGAAGAGTAGACCGGCCTCATGTACCACTCATCATCATATCACCATCATGAGCCAAAGCCTTGGAGTTGATTCAACGCACCACGGACCGAGACCGATCAATCTGTACAACTCGTCCAAGTACAAGCTTCCGAAACTCGCCTGGCGGGATCTCAACACTCGGATCCAGTTGTGAGTCACTCAGTGAATGATCCGGGTACACGGTCAATGGACTCGGTTTGAATGTCCACGAACCTGAACCGATTCAGTTCGTCTTTCAATTTTGTCCTGTCGGGTCAATTTCGTCGAGAAGCCAGCCAGATAGCCAGATAGCCAGCCAGCCCCCCTGTCCACATGCAGAGCCATCACCTGACACATTTCGCAAGCGGCGGCGTTAGTGTTGGGAGATGTGATGTGGAAAGGACCTCTGTTGTGATCACAGCCTGGTCACAGATGATCCTTAATTCAGTCCTTAATCGAGATGATCGTTGACAATTCTCTTAACAGGTTGGCTTACAATCTGAGAACACTCAGCCAGTTTGGCTTAGCTCCAGCGAACTGGGTGAAGACGACCGGGAGTGCTCGTGGTCAAATGTTTGGTGATCGGAATTAGTACCTGTCATGTCAGCTTGCAACCTGATCGATAGATCAACTGTCGGCATCGTCTCTCTTCATGATTCCTAGGAACTCGGTCTCGCTGACTGCAAGGGTCAAGGACTCGGGGATCATCTGCTGAATGGGCGAAAGTACTAGGCGACCGTGATTTAGTTTCCCGCTTATGGACGGAATCATCAAAAGGCTGAGCTCGAGCTCGAGCTTGAGCTTGAGCTTGGGCTTGGGCTTGGGCTTAGCGTCGTCTACTGCCCCGTGCCCGACGTCAGCCATCTACTGCAGCGAGACTTCATGCAACTTTGACTTGCCGCAACTCATATTCATGCAGTGATCATGAGTGGTCAAATCGGGACGTGAGGTCTGCGTCTGATTACTTTCCAGCAATGAGCTGCGTTGTCATTCGGGCATGATTTCACTTCTAATTAGGTCACAGGAAAGGTCAATCGTGGATTGGGGGGTGGGGGAAGGGGTACGAAGATGGGACTCACTTTCGCCATCGCCATCTTTGTCAACTGCAAAAACATACATACACGTTTGCTTCAACATATGGAACAACACGAAGGATAGTGGAACTAAACTGTCACTAGTCAAACATGCAAAACATGATCATTGCAGAAAGTTAGTGACTGCAAAATGAAAGTCTCTGCATGCCACGCTAGCTAGGTCCCTTGAAGGAGAGCGAGGTCTCGATATTGGAGAAGTGCTGGTGAGAGGAGGTACATAGGCATATATATAGATCATCTCATCTAACATCCAACCAAGGAAGGGAGAATGTCAAGAGAGTTTCACATTCATCTATCATGGCGGCAAGCTCATCATCCGTGATGTGCTCCCCCAAGTCTCGAGCGATCTTCCTCAGGTTTTTGAGCTACGAAGCAAATTTTCATGGCACACAGCAACAAGCAGTTTATTAGGCAGTCGGCCGAGATATTTTATTACCACAATGATTAATGGCGTGAAGAAGAGGAGCTTAAGTTTTGACCGAATTCAGGAACCAAAATGTCGTGGGCACGCTCTCATCGTCACAACGAACGAGTTGAGAACGTACCGAGATCTTTCCAGTATTGTCTTCATCGAAAAAGCGGAATGCTTTTGCTAGATCCTCATCCGGATCCTTTTCTTGGTACTTAGCTGTAACTGCATCAGAGAAAGTTTCTCGGCCATCAAATCGTTAAAGGAGATGTTTTTTCTCGAGTGGCCTTCGAGGTGGAACCCATGTGGGCCACCTGTGCTGCCATTGGCTCAAAATTCAGTATCCACGAGCTCTTTGATGTTACGCAAATGCAAGCATGCAGGCAGGTCTCAGAAGTGAATTGCAGAAATAGCTTTTGTGTCATTTTTCCTGATTTTATGACTTTCTTCTTTGGTCGACTGAAACTTCCCAACTTTTGAGACAGCCAAGGGATTCGAGTGGAAATTACATACGAATCTCCATGAACTCATCCTTATCAACCTCATCCGATCCATCTTTGCAGTACTTCTCCATCAACTTGCGACAGTCGGCTTTCTTAACCGGGAAATCCAGAGCTCTCATGGCTACCTGGAGGAATTGGCACATGTAGGATGCGTATATGGATAACTGAGCCTCATCAGACCTCACACTCTCCACGTTTGCACAATTCTCCGTTCAGAAGAAACGCAGTGTCAAGGCTAGCGACGGCTACCAGAGCTAGAACCATGGACCTCTCAGAGTCCGTGCAAACGAATACCAAACATTCAGTCAGTCCACTCATGCAAGTCCGGCGGCTAAGGCCTTTCTTAGACGATAAACGTGGATCAATGGAGAAACAACATTGCATCGGGACGTAAACCCCAGCTTGCAGCTGTGAGGGAACAAATCTATAAATCAAGATCGAATTTCGAATCTCTTGCAAAGTTTCCGAAACCCTGGCAATATTTCTCGTTGGGTTTCGTCGTTCTGAACACACATCTCAGTCGAGTAGACAATTCAGCTCTCCAGAAGCGAGATACGATCTCTACCCGTGAAGAGTGCTCCTGCCCTGCCAGGCAGGAGCCACAGTTTTGCAAATTGCGCACATTCTGATGATGAACGGAAGAAGCTGCTAGCTTTCACTCGCAGATCCCGTGACAGCGACATGTTGACACGCTGATGTGAAAGCAGATGCCGGGGGAAGGAAGATGGGCCGAGTTCGGTTCGAATTCGATGAGGACTCAGGCCCGTCGCCATCGCCTCGACAGCACGGTGCCGCTGACTCGGTGGACGCATCAGTGCGCCAGAGAGAGAGAGAGAGAGAGAGAGAGAGAGAGAGAGAGAGAGAGAGAGAGAGAGAGAGAGAGATCTGCCCCGAGAATCACAGATCGGAACAAAATCGTGCAGACGGGGGAGAGAATGGATCGGATTCCGAAAGGACACGATAGAGTTCCGTACAATGCGAGGCGACAATCTACGGCCCGGGGCTCAGAGTCAGAGGGAAGGAGAAGGACTTGCGACTGGACGGGACTGGACTGGGACTGGACTGGACTGTGGACCAGACCAGATCAGATCGTCAGAAGATGGACCGACGAATTTCGGGGAGTTGTTGTTGTTACCTTGAGGTCGCGGAGATTGTGTTTTCCGATCTTACGGGAATCAAAAAGCTCAAAGGCCATGCAAATTTCCTGCTTCTCCTCGGCGCTGATGTCGTTCCGTATCTTCCTGCAGGCCACCGGCCTCAGAGTGGGGCTCGCGGAGTAGAACGATCCCGGGTGCGGGTGCGGGTGCGCGTGGGAGTGAGGGTGATGGTAAGGTGCCAATCGCGAGCTAGCGCCCGGGTAGCCGACCTGCGAGTCCTCTCTGGACAGAGGCGACGTCGGCGTCGACAACGACCATCGCCTCTGAGGATTCGAGTCCTTACGAGCCATCCTCCCCCAAATCGACCTCTTCCTCTGCCCCTCGAGTAGTCCTTCCTCCCGATCTCCTCCCCGCTCCAGCAAGCGACGGGCGAGAACGATCGAGCGGGCGAGCGGGCTGGCAAGACGAGGGAAGGCAAGACGAGGCGACGAGGATGTGCGAGGAGGGGGACGAGGGCCACGAAGAAAAGGCTTCGAGTCTCGAGGCAATCCATGTCCGAGTTGACTCGGGGCCCCATTTCAACTCCGAGCATTTCAGTTTAGCTGCGGTCTAACTAACAAAAACCGTTCTCGTTCCCCCTCGAGCCACAACACAGCCCAGCCCAGCCAGCCCCTCAGGATCGAAGGCTGGCTGGGCTTGTCGCATTCTGCGTAGCTTGTGCTGAGAGCTGCAGCAGGGGCCTCCTCCTCCCAACAGGGACAGCTTATATAGCGTGCGTCTAAAGGAGATCCGCTCGGGGACAGGGTAGGTCCACGAAAGCTAAATTCGCACCTGCCTACCACGCCCGAGTCCTGTTGCGGGACGAGGCCGCGCCTAGCTGGCTAGGCCCTTCTGCTGCTCCTGCTCCTGCTGCTCGCGTCGGGGCTGTGCCAGGGCGGAATCCGAAGCATATTCCTCCCTTCGAGCGGAATGCTCGACGAGAAGCAGATATGGTCGAGGACCTCCATCGAGGATCTCGAGTCCAGCGACACCTGCTTAATTTGCCTCGTCCGTCCGGCCGTCGACTGTGACCGCCAGCGAGACGCTGGATGCGCTACGACTCTGCCTTCTCGGCGTGGCTTTCTCGGCTCGGAAATTGATCCCCGTTCCTTCGTTCTGTAGCTTGCGGTGGGACGAGGCGCCGTAAATGCAGAAACTTCCGGCAGGACGACGCGCTCCATGCCGCTTTTGGACGCTGTATCGTGCGTACATTGTCCGAATATTCTGCGTGCCGAAGAATCATGTTGCCAAGGATTGGGCTCTCGATCGATCGAGGAAGTCGAATTCGAGAGACTCGAGAGAGACGAACTGCTCTGTCCTGTCCTCTCACAGACCCGACGACGTCGATTCTAGCTCCTCTAGACTCGGTTGTAATTCTTCGCATGTGAAATCTGCGACGGGCGTGGTCCCCTTCGCCGCATGAGACCACCACGCAATCAGAAGCGGGCTTCTGTGCGAAGCCCGCCCTCGTAAGAAACCCCGTCGTATTCGCCGAGCCACGAACTCTGCCGGCTTGCTTCGCATCTTTCGACACAATTGAAGCCTAAAGCGATGCACGGGTACGGTGCGACAAAGTGCAGTCCTATCCTCGAAAAGCAGCTCCGAGCAGTTTCCTCCCGTACAACATGTAGACAGCGGGGGCCGACGCATGATCGTGCGTGCGTAGGGTTGTGAACTCTGAATCCGATCCCCCGACCGTCAAAGTGTGATGAGTGCGGGGGTGTCGAAGGCGGAGCTGGCTGCTTTATTCTCAGAGTGAGGAGAGCGATTCGATCCGACGGCGTACAGAGGATCCATGGCGTCGATAGGAAAGTTCGGCCCGAAAGAATGGAGGAACGGGGTAGTGTTCAGCAGCCGGGCAGATTATGCAACACACGTACGTACGTGTCTTTAGATTGTCGGGTCCCTTTCGTGGTTGATTCGGAATTCCCAGACCTAATGCTCTCGACGCTCGTAGAGCTGATTATGAAGGACGTACCTTCGTGAATCGGGCGATTTACGAGCACATAAACATAAACACACATACACACAAACACAAACACAGCGTCACCGTCACCGAGTGAGTGATGTTGAACTGAAGATGATGAGAGTGGAGAGATGCAGCAGAGACGATGGGGAAAAGCGATGGGAGTTTAGTAGTCTCTCTAGACCCAGACTCAGATCATGAACATTGTTGTCGAAAAGAAAGACTATAGTACAATCAATTCCTCTCTCCTCGATCGGAAGCCATGATTTGTCAGTGCTGCCAATTTTGTCGAATTTTGTCTTGGTCATCATCATCGGTCCGAGACGTAAGCAGCCGTCCCAGTCCCAGTCCCAGTCCCAGTCCTCGTCCCTGTCACGGTCCCGGTCTCAGGTCCCGGTCCCGGTCCTAGGAGACGGTCCCTGTCTTTGTCCCTACTGGGATCTGCCCAGCTCGACCCAGATGCGGTCGGCAAATTTGTGCAATGTGGACGATTCGCGTTTGATAGCGAAAGCCGAACATCGGTCGAGATATCCGAGATCGAACACAGTGAAGCCCCGGCCGGCCACGACCGCTCGGGCGTTAGGGTACGTCGCACATTGCGACGGTCCTACTCGAGCGCCTTGAGGAGTCACGCTACCTCGTGTCACCGAAACTCTACCTCGGCCGGGGCCCGTAAGCAAGAGCCGGCTCGAGCTTAAGCGCGATGAGAGAGACGGTTTAAGAGCGGACTTAGGCTTAATCAGGATCCGCGTAGCGGGCGGGGTCCAAATGTCGAGCGCTCGAGAGGGCCCGGGCACTTGTGGAGGGTTAGGGCATACTGCACATGCCGGAAAGCTGGTGCAGCAGCAGAGCCTAGACCTAGCATTGGAGGAATTGTTGGACGGGGAATCTGGAGCAGCGTAGCGTAGGCTTGACGAGCGATGCGTCTGTCCGAGGACAAGAGTCATGAGTGCGAAGGTCAGTGGAGTTCGTTAGTGATCCACAAGAAGATTCCGAGTCGGGGGCTGGATGAAAAAGCGGACAAGGTAAGTCAGTCGCCGCGACGGCAATAGGCCGAATGACCCCACATGTCGAAATTGGCATGGAGGTGACTTGCCAGAGCTTTCCTATTCCGGTCATGGTCCGAGATCCCCATCCAATGACGCTTTGAGTGCAACATTCAAGCTGACGTCAGTGTCTTAAGTTCGTCCATTTTATATCCTTTGTTGGAGGATAGGCATGAATGCCCCGCAGGGTGACCTGGACCCAGGGGCTCCGAGCTGTTCCTCCCCCGCGGATAGTCCTCATTTCCAACTCACCCTGACCCAACTTTGTTCTCCGGTACACTCACCGCGCATGCCACGAATGACGGGTTTCGTCTTCCGCTCGTAATCGTGATTCGTGAAACTCATGAATCCCTCCCTGCCATGCGCCCGAGGTTAGGTTATTCTCACGAGTCTTCATTACCCCCCTCTCCCTCCCTCGTCGAGGATTGCTTGCTTGCTTGCTGCCGCTGCTGCTGATGACATGTTTGACAGAGTGGCAGTACGATAGTACAGCCGAGTTGGGCCTCACGAAAACTGCGTGATTTTCGTCACGTCATGACTCGAGCGAGAGTCAGAGTTGGCCTCCAGCACGGACAGACGGCGGGAGCGGGAGTGTGAGGGGGGAAGTTCATAAGAACGAATGGATGGATGGATGGATCCATTGCTGGCTGACAGACTCTCACCGGAGGTGGGCACGTAGACGAGGCTCATGGCCATGATGCCCTCTCATGGCCCATGGCCCATGCCATCCACGTCGGACGACATCGCATGCCACCTCATCTCCCCGCCCTCTTCCGCTCGATGTCCGGTTAAGGCCCCGCCCAGGGGCAGTGATCGTATGGCCTCGACGTCCGCCCGCCACGTCGGCTGCGACGGAAGAGACTGTGCCAGTCGCCGCCGTGAACTTCTTTCCTGAAAAACGCAAAGACCGCCCAACTAACCCCAGGAACGCGGTGGTGCCCGCAGTAGCGCGGTAGCGTGGTAGCGGTAGGGGCGAGGAGGGGGGAAGGGGGAGCGAGGGAGCGAATGAACGAATGATTATGGGAGGGGAGTGTCATGGCATGAATGAGGAGGAATGATGAATGACTAGGGCGACGACAATCGTCTGGGAAAGAGGAGCGGGATTAGGGCACGCACCGATCAGGAGAATACGTGACGTTGGAACATCAAATGTGCCAAACAAGCATCTGGCCTGGCCGCGTCGGGCGGAACCGGATTTACTGTTGCAGCGGGGCGCGGGGGGCGGGGGACGGGACGGGGCGGGGGCGAGCACTTCCGGCAGCGGGACCGCATTAGCTAATGCGGTCCATTAGGCTCTCTTAAGCTCGCAGCATCTCGCGAGCGAGCGGCACAGTGGGGCAGCCGTTGCGGGCGCCGGTAGAGGGGGGCCTCCGGCAGCAGGTCAGGCGAGGACGCGGGGCGTGCGGCGGGGGGGCGAATGCGGCCAAGGGAGCGGGAGCGGGAGCGCTAAGCGAGCGCGCTTAGGGCGCCAGGCGAGGGCTAATCGCAGGAACTGGCAGCAAAACGGAGTGCCGTGTCGTGGGGCGGGGAATAATAAACTAGTGGTTTTTAGAGGCCCCGCGGGCAAGAGGAGAGGCGAGGCGAGGGCAGATATCCCTGCCAGAGTTCCAGTCGACAAGACGAAGAAGGAGGAGGAGGAGGAGGAGGAGGCGCAGGAGGGCAGAAGAAGAGAAGGAGGAGGGCGGGGGGGGGAGGGCAGGAGCTCAGTAGCGTAGTAGGAAGGAAGGCAGGCAGGCAGGCAGGCAGGCGGGGGAGGAGGGGGGCAGTGCCCGAGCCGAGCCGAGGAGGCGAGAGGGAGGGACGAAGGAGGAGGAGGGATGGGGGAGGGCATTCGGCGAATCAGTAGCGCGCAGGCGAGCTCTGGAGTGTGCGAACGGAGGTAACGCCCGTGCTGTACCCGCGGCAGTGCACGGGTGAAGAAAGACAGCAGCAAGGGTCTGGTCCAAACTCCGAGAGAAGCACTGAAACGCGAAGACGCACTGCGCTTTCAGAAGGAGAAGCGAGCGTCGACGAGCGTCGACGAGCGAGAGAGGAGTTTGGCCGCTTCCTCGTCGCCCGATACACAGAGGCCATGGCGGTGCACTTGCAGTGGTTGTAGGAGCCTTGCGGCCATGGCCCCCGCCCCCTCCTCCTCCTCCACCGCTGCGGCGGCTGCAGTAGTTGTCACGGATCCCAGCCCGTCCGTGCCCGCTACTGCATCAGTTGCGACTCTGGCTTCGGCTATGGGTGTGATAAAGGTTTCTTCATCGACAACCGGTGGATCTTCATCGAGCTCTTCATCGTCGTCGTCTGGGAAGAGCGATGTGTCCAATTCTGGCGCGGATCAGGAGTTTTCTTCGGAGACGTTAAGCCGATCGTTATCTGCGAGCAAATTGAACGCGAAGGCGCCCGAGTTCGTCCCTAAGGGCATCATCAGTCCCACGACTTCAGTTGCAGGGTTTATTCCCGGTTTGATCCCTGTGGCTTTATTGCAGCAAACTTCACCCGGAGTTCTTCCGGTGCACTACCCCCCTCTTGTTTCACCCACGCAATTTGATCCGATGCCCGTCATGGTCGCCGGTATGCCCCCGGTGGTTCCGTCCGGCACGCCTCCCGCTCTTGGCCCCGAGGCTGTTGATGCGTTTTTGGTCCAGGACTCCTTCCCACCCCCACCACAGACAATTTTATCTGCCCCTCCCACCGTCAAGCCCATGGTTAACGAGGAGCTGAAGGCGAAGATCGTGAAGCAGGTCTGTGCCTTCCACCTGTTCATTTTCTTTTCGATTTGCATTGAAGTTCTCCAAATTGAAATTAGGAATTTGCATCCCACGAACTATCCACCAGACTGACTGCGGTCCCCACGCCGAAGAACATCTGAAACCCGTGCCGCAAGCACTTCTGGAAGCCTTTCGGAGGGCCACAATCCGCTCGGAATCGAGCTGTAGCTGGGCATGCTAGTCGGACAGAGCAGGTGTGCAATCTGAAGTTCCGAGTTAGCACAGTAGTTGGAAGTGTCCATGATTTCGACTGAGGAGGAGCAGATGGATCATAAGTTCACAATTCAGATTGTCGAAGTGCTTTTGGAAGCGATCGGGGCAAAGTTTGTGACCAGGATGAGACTGCCCACCACCGCCTTGAGCACTTCCAAGGCTTTTGTCGTGATCTGTGGTTAGATGACCTTCATATAATCTGCGCGGCAATTGATGTGGATGTCGTGGATCTGGGATCAGGGAGGGAGTCAAGCTGTCGCGATCTCTTTTTGCGGAAGTTTTGCAAGCCTGTGTTCCAAGATCTGGAAACCTAGACTGTCCAAATACGAACGCTGAAGTGAAAACTGGGTAGTTTTTTTGTGACTGGAACCACTCTGACGTCCCGATCGAGGTACTGATTCCCGACCTCGTAAAGGTAGTATGGAGCAGGCGTAGAATTCCACATCCGCTGCTCTCTAGTATCGTGCTTATTAACAGGGATCCGAAGTGCTTGCCGGACGGTGTAGCAAGACGTGGGGCGAAATTCTCATCAGTTTTGTCTACTTGTACAGCACACACGAGATCAAACACGCCTGTAGTGGTTTCATCGCGCCGTGGACTATCTGATCAATTAGGTCCTTCCGTTTAGGTCATCCAGTATCACCTTCCGAGAAGAATTTACCTCTGGTCGTTTCTGTGTTTAGTCATCACCCAGAGGACACTGCTCCAGTTCCGCGAGCTTGTGATAGCGCCCCGAGTTTGTATTGTCAATGTGTGGTGGGGACGATTACTTGTTTTGGAGAGTATACAGAACACTCTCCCAGGCGGATTTACGCTTAAGACCTCTTTCTGGTGCTTAGATTCAACGTGACTGGTAACCAGCAGTATTTTGAAACCATCGACCTGTAACCAAAAGACCTTGCGTTTTAGATCCAAAATCAGGATTAGGTCAACTCCGTTTTATTATGTGCTTGATCTGATCGTCTGTAATCGGTGTTATGTGGCAGGTTGAATTCTACTTTAGCGATCAGAACCTTCCCACTGATAACTATCTCATGAAATTTGTGAAGAAGGATCCCGAAGGGTTCGGTATGTATATTTTTCTCCTAAACCTTTTTCTTCAGTAGAGAGCATTATCTTTGACATTGTACATCGAACGTCATTAAACTTGTTGCACTTTCTATTTGTTTGGTGGATCTTCTGCTAATGGATCGGCTTCCTTCTTGTCGGTCTGTAGTCTCTAGAATGGTGTGTTATGGCAGCAAGAACCTAGTTGAATGAAACCGAAACCTCTTCATTAAGAACCGTCTATCTGATGTTGCCCCAACGTGTGTAGCTGTCTTGCCATTTGCTGCCTGTTGTTTGCCACATCCTTTCGATATTGTTTGCTCTTGGGGCACCTCGTTTATCGTCTGATCACATTCGAATACATACTAAGACCGCCATTATGTTCATCAGATATTTTTAAAATTTTCAAGTATATCAGGATGAGAGCTTTATCTTCGGCCATCGCTCCCGCAAACATTCCTGCTTATGTCTTTCTTTTCCCTTACTACTGGACATTCCAGAAACTTAGCTGGAAGATACTTTAGGGCATCTACAGTCATTGCACTTTGATAATACAGTCCAAGAGATTTCCAGCATTTTCTCTTGACCTTCATCTCGTCTATGCCGGTTTTTTGTGTAAAGTCTGGAGAGGTTTCTTGTTCTCAAAGATTTTATCGATGTGATTCTGCTCCTGACCATCTATTTGGTTCTTCTTTCCATCGCAGTACCTATCCCTGTGGTAGCATCTTTCAGAAAAATTAAAAATCTCGTAAAAAATCATGGGATCGTCGCGGCCGCTCTTCGAAATTCAACTCTTTTGGTACGTACGCCATTTCTTTTACACATAACTTGCACAACTACTCCTGGCAGTTAGTTCTGGAGGGTTTGGAGTTAAAGTTATGCGGGAATATGGATTATGGTGTACAGTGGAAGTCCATCATATTACAGAATGGGCTGACATTTCCCAATGTACCATGTTCTCAACAGGTGGTCAGCGAGGATGGTAAGAAGGTTCGACGAGCTCAACCCTTACCCGATGTTGATCTCGAAGAAGTTCAGGTTTGGATACCGTCCTTCAAATTGTACTGCTTGATCTCACCATTTTCATCAGGAGTCTCTGTATATTAATGCATAACCTTCTAAGTGGATGGGCTAACTTCCTGGCTCTTTCGAGACTTGGAAAACCATGTCATTGTTGTCCATTGGAAGGTATTCAATTATCGGTCTTGGGGGTATATTTCTGAGTTACAGTGACGTTGTTTACTGCAGTCACGCACCGTGGTAGCTGAAAATCTACCAGAAGATCATTCAATCGAGAGTGTGGAGCAACTATTTGGCTCAGTTGGCAAGTAAGATATGCCCTTCACGTTTTCCTTTGTGACGTATTACACGGTTTCGTTACCGAAAGTGATTTGCTTCCACTCTTGTAGGAGATGAGCACCAGCGTGCAGTGAAGCACATGTGATGGGTCATCCAGCTTATTTTCTTTACGCTGCGGGTGCGGGTTAGTAGTTCAATTACTTAAGGGTCTAGGGTTTCAATCAGACGAACTTTTCAAATAGCGTTTTAAGGCTAAAACGTGGAGAGAAGCTAAATCTTTCTTCTATCCTCCGTGAACATGGGAATGATCAAGTAATGTAAAGGTTAATAGACGATGACATAAATCGACTAAATACTATACACTGCCGTAATACTGATGAAGGAAGCTTTCTAATGGGACCAAAATTGCTTCTTTTGCCAGTGTAAAAATGGTGCGTATTTGCCAACCCGAAGCAGCCAATGGTGCTAGTCAAACAGCCGCAAAATTTAAGTCGGACATGGTTGTTAGCAACAAGGTATATGACTTGTAGTTCCTATGTGTACTTTTCTTGCCTGCCAGCCGTTTGTCGTACGTGATTTCTCATTCTTTTCTAGTTCTACATGCTTCGAGTGAGTTTATTTGTGGCAGTCCCCTGTTAGTTCTCACATGTTTACTAAGACTTTTGCAAATTTTCTTGGAACAGCTGCACGCACTTATTGAATTCGAAACTGTGGAGCAAGCGGAAAAAGCTGTAAGATGGGTCATGTTTTTCACGCTTCCATCAAATTGCAGTAGGAAGATCATCGTTGGTACCTATCTATTTGGAAGATCATTTAGTTAATAATGATCAGGAGTTCAACTCATACGCCCTGCTTTGGTATGTGTGCAGGTGTCAGCATTAACAGACGAGCGGAATTGGAGAAGCGGACTCCGCGTCCGGCTTCTGCTAAGACGCACGGTATGTTACAAAAAAATGTCTAATGTTCTGTCTATTCTCGGTAGTTGTTCATTTACTCCTTCTCTTGTTGTTGTTAAGTGAAGCTTCGAACCTTGGAGACCTTGTTGACTAGAAGTGATGGCTTGCAGTTTCAAAGCAAGCACGGCTACCAGCAAGCTCCATTCCAAAAAGGTCGCAAGGCCTCAGGTGGCGAAGATAGTGGCGGCGAAGAGGAAGATCTTGTGGGAGCTCAAGATAAGAGTGGCGAAGAGTCAGGCCATGCTAATGACAGAAGTGAAGAAGCTCCAGTGAGTTTTCAATATGATCCATTAGTCTTCTTCCTTTGGGAAGGGAATAACGTTGATATTTCCTGCCAAATGAATGTTAGCGATTGCACACTACATGTCATCCCTTTGTTTTCATCATTAAACCAATTACATCTGACGCCTTGCAGTTAAAATATTGCGTTCTTATATTTCGCTACAAAGCATAGCGTTTGTAGCTTTGCCCCCATATCTGGTTAGCGTTTATGATTTAGTGTGTTTTCCCAAGTTCCTTGGCCCTTGATTTGTCTATGGCTAGTAGACGAAGACTAACTATTCCAACTTCCTGTCTGTATTGTGAATATGGTCCCATCATTGTGCACACTGAGCCTTTCTGTGAAGAGAAAACTCACATATTTGGCCACAACGTATGGTCTTTTCAAGTTTGTCGTAACCTGGACTTTTGTCTCTATGTCAGAGTTCTTACTTCGTATTCGTTCCTCTCCGTTTTTGGTAAGCGCTTACGTATCGTTCGTTTTCGCCTTGTTATGAATTGCCGGTTAATATAGCCGGAGTGTCTTCAGGGTAACGATGCTGGTACAATTGATCGTGATGGAAGCGGCAAGAGAGGAAGAGGCCGTGGACGTGGTGGGCGAGGGGGACGAGGCAGGGGTCAGCATACTGGAGTTAATGGCAGCCGTACTCATCAGCTAGGAACATCCCCCCAGTCAAGCATCACTATTTCCAGTGAAGTAGTAGGCAGGCCACCTCCAGGTCCCCGTATGCCTGATGGAACTAGAGGCTTCAGCATGGGTCGGGGTAAAATACCTATAATGGGTCCAGCTTAGGTATCTGTCGATATCATGCTTCAGCAGTACATTGGGGTCACGTATGTTTTGCTATTTGTTGTAAGAGGGTGGGCTAGGCTCCTTTATCTGGAGACTGGGTGATGGAGGCCTTCATATTTTATGTGTCTTGTCATGGTGTGTGATCTTTATTATGGCGAGAATTTGGCAGGAATGTAGATGTTGAGGGTTATAACACAAGGTTGGACTGTCAAGCTTACCTGTACCATAGTCTGGCAGACAGCCGTTTCCGAAAGAACGCTAGAGAGCGCGAGAGAGAGAGAGGGAATGCATTTACTGAAGGAGGCAGAAGGGCATTTGTGCACGCTTGACACCAATCATGCATGGGCCTTGTTTATCAGCTGCTTATTGTCGTGGATGTCTCTAGAAAGCTCATTTATTTTATTTCAGGTGCACCTACTTTGAGATCCCTTTTGTGCAATTGCCATAGTTTCTTTGTCAATAATATTGAGTAAGGGAGGGAGAGAGAGGTATCTGGGTATTCTTGAGGTGGGATCTAGGCGGTATTAGATGACAAACGACCTGCCTTGACAAATTGCCTCTAGTCTTAGCAGTGAGCTTTTGTCTGCAGAACATCAGTTCATTGATGACATGGAATGGGTATGAAATACTACTAAGGTCGATAGGCCTAGCCAGCCATGTCGGAGATGCATGGCAATCTACATAACTAGACATACCGTTAACATTGTTTCCAATTCTGCCACCTTAACAAATGATTCAAATTTTGAACTTTTTAACACCCTCGTTGTCAGTTCTGAGTCCAAGTCTCGTTCCAGCAACTTTCAACTCGAGGTGCTCTTGGCAATAAACATCAGGTCAGAAGTTGTCTGGATAAAACTTGTTCTAAACTTGACGAGATAAAAGTTTCAATTATATATTGCTTATGCGGTTCTCCGCGAATGGAACACTGAATTACCTATGGAATAAGCCTCATCTTCAGTAAGCGTGGCATTCACCATTCTCTTCATAAAGAAAGCCGTTGGGTATTTTTTGTTGGTACATCATTATGGTTGATGCTATTTTCCATGAGACGTCGGGAGAGGAACAACGGAATAGAGCCTCCCAGGGATACAACTACATATCAATGAACATTCAGCGACCCTAATCTCCTGGATGAAACCCAACAAATGAAGATACAATCTCTTAGAAACGAGAGAGTAGATTAGACCCCCTCCGTCACGAATATATACATAACGCATGCACATCATTCGATTTGACGCAAGAGATAAGTCTCGGCCATAAGCAGAATATGAGATCACTAAGGGATCTGTGTACGCTGGAAGCAAGAACTGAGTTACACAAAGGGACGGTAGGAACGTTGACCAGAAACAAATCACACTCGTTAGGGATGATTGCTTCTGAAGAATTGTCGTTACTCCAAGCTGGCATACTCGGTATAAACGGTTCACCAGTCCCACTATCAGCAGAAAACCGGACTTGAAAATTTTGAGAAATCCCGATGATGCAAGTCCCAGTAGTCATATTGCATTGCCCTATAGTACCTTGAAACATAGGTTGGAAAGTCAGGGTTGTGGGTCACGGTGTTTTCTGTTTTGGATTTACTCACAGCTGTAAATGAAAGGGTGTTTAAACACGCTACTGTGCTCAAAAACTTGAATTGAGCTTTGGCAAAAGGTCAGACGCCTCCATTGCAAATGACAAACCAGTTACTGAAGTAAAAAAATAAGGATGAGAGGACTCGTTGTTAAACAGAAAGTGGATAATATCAAAAGGGGTGAGATGGGGCTAGGCCTCGAATAGCATGACAATGGAAAAATATGTCATATTTCACTTAAGACAAATGGATTGTCATGACATATTGTTTATATATTCCAAAACTACCCAAATATACATGATCTAATGTGATTATTATCTTATGAATTGCAACCACTAACTCCTTCAGGTAGATCAATATCCTAAACTATACTAGGCGATAAGCTAAAAACGGTGATAGTGCATGTAACACAATATGCTAGGCTTCCAATCGCTCTCTTAAGAGCTTGTCTTAAATCTAGATGCATAGTTCTATATAAATTTAAAGGTAGAGTAACAAAAATTTTATCTCTAATTGAAAACAATGAAACAAGTGGATATTATAACCACAATTTGTATACAAAAATAACCTTTTTTTCTTTAAATAGGAAAAATTTTGTCACTATACTAGTTGATTGTAAATCAAGAGATTAACACTCACTTTAGATTGATTCTTGGGTAAGAGTAATCTAGATTTGTAATATAAGAAAAAATTTAAAATTCATCAAAATGGGAGATTTTTTTAGTTAATGGAAAAAAATTCCTTACGTCATATCACATAGGGTAGATCAGCTATATATAAGGTTAAAATATATGTAGAAACAAATTCTCAATCACGATAAATAATCTTTTGCAAAGTTTGACATACAAATAGGGTGAAAAAAAAGTTTTAAGATTTTTTTGAACATGTTAGCCGTGTATTCGTATCATATGTTTTGCTGAAAATTGTAGATGAGACAACTCATCAAAGAAAATCATCACCATTGTATGTACTTGACATCTTAACTCCAAGTTTATAAGATGAAGATTAGTGTTAAAACTTCAAAGTCATGACTAATATGATCTTCAAGTCTCATTATTGTATATCAATGACAAGAAGGAAACACAAAATTTGCCAAAGAACAGACAAAGAAAAACACTCCAGTCAACAAGACCGCAATCGGTAACAGAATGAAAAAGTACAGGCCCTACGAGATTCTTTGTCTTTACCGGGACATATTTTGTTAATTGGAGTGAAATGACAAATTCAGCATGCTTCGTAGAAAAGAAATCTCTTATACAAGTATTTATTTGTAGATTCTTGTCATTGAATTTTACCATTGTGGATACATTGAAATAAAAAAATTTATAATAACGGAATCTATTAATTTCCAGTATTGTAATGAATGACATGAAGATTCTACAAAATGAATGAAATTTGACAAAAGTCAACTATTTTATAACGCACTATATAAGTTAAGATTTTTCAATATAGAGATATATATATATATATATATATATATATATACATAAAACCTAAACATGTATGAACATATAGAGATGTTATTATATTTGGTGATATTATGTGAGTAGGGATGAGCATGGCTCGGCTAACCGGCTAAAATTTTTTGTTTTCCAGCTAGTCGTAGTCTCACCGGCTGAGTCCGTGAGTAATAGACTTCTATGGAGAATATATTAGGAAGACTTTTTCTCGACAAAGAGTCTTTCAAATCTCGACAGAGAATGTTATTGGAAAAGTGGAATCTGAAAGAAGAGACAAGAGTCAAGCAATAAAGAAAAAAGCTCACAAAGTTCTTCATGTTTCTTTAGACTTGTATAAGTAGAGATCAAAGTACAAGATTCTTATTATTCAACTATGAATGTTTTGTCCATCTTGCATGTGCTTGCGGTTGGAAACTTTTTCTTTCCCATTGACAATTCAAAGTACATCTCAATATAGCTATTTTGAGAGATGCATATTGTGCCCTCAAAACCCAGGTGCAACGACCAGCGATCTGCATAAAGTTAGATTTGATTTCTTTGACGAGAGAAAGTCCAATCCGACTTGGAAAATTCTCTATCTACTCCATATGCAAATCATATTGAAAAAAATTCACGAATTCATTGAGTGGGCGACAAATAAAACATAAATTAACTTTCACAAAACAGCTTGATGACAAATTGAACTAAATTAAACATAAATGTCACTCAATTTTTTTATTTTTGAAATACTAGTCCAAGGAATTTTGCACTTGAGTTATTCACAATTTATCTTAAATGAAATGAAATCAAACAAAGATTATACTTCACGGAACCAAAAGATACAAGTAGAACAAAAATTAAACACAGATTACACTTCACACACATAATCTTGTGGCTTCTAACCAAATCATTGGAAAAAAATCAAGTGGTTAGGGACAAACAAAATCACAAAGATATTTTATTAATTTCATTGAATAGTCGCTTCCATGAGTACAGATTCATGGTAATCTTTATAGAAGTATCGCACGAACCGAAACGCTCCACGGTGGCAATAGCATCGCTTTCTGATAATGCAAACTCGGATGGCACTGAAAACCCCTTGCATATTAAGTTGTCGCGTGCAACAAGTGACAATCGCAAAAAATGCTTGTGGCCAAATCCTGCTCATCAGACCATTGCATCGTCGCATGATTCATCTCTTGTTTTGATGAACTGCAAAAAATCCATAATCTGTTTGAAGACATCATGCAATTCGTTCATATTTAATTTCAAACATCGTAGCTCGTGCTCTACGTGCAGCAATAAACATACTTCGGCTGCTATTTTTTAAAGTGAAAGAGAAAGCATGTTCATGTGTTCCCTCGATACCATATTGTTGTTGATGAATTTTTTGAAGCCGTGTCATTAGAGGTTATATTTCTTCATCCGTCTTTGAAACTGTAGTATCAAGTGCTAGTGCTAACATTGATAACGGGCCACTCAAGTATTTCTGATATTTTTTCACCTTTATCATCAATGCTCTTGAAGCATCCTTAAACTCAGGTGCAGTGAAACTAAAATTCATCGTAATGTTGATGGTTGATTTGAAAAGTTTGCTATTGTCAATTAGATAGAATAGTCATTTTATAAGCAAGAGCAAGAAAGTCTTTGAAACACTTCAATGCGTAGTGTATTGATTGAAGTACTCAATTGAAGTCAAAGTTTCAATATTAATGTAGTGCTTGGATATGTTTGATAAAGATTGAAAATACTCTGTGAGATTGTAGAATGAATCAATCATTGTAAACATCATATTTCATCTATTCTCCACATCACGTCCAGGAACTTTCTTCGTCTTGAGTATTTGCGTTACTACAAGATCTTGAACCTTTTTGAATCAGCTCGCATTCATCATATGCGGATCTTATTCAGCATTGGGAAAAGTTTTTCCACCTTGAATTCAAGGTGGAAAAAAAATTGCTTCCTTGTTAATCACAACAATCCTTGATGCATGATATGGAACACACAAAGTTGTCATCTATAGACTAGATTTACATCAAATTTATTTTACAGTTTTTCTCGTAGATGTGATAAGCATGAATCATTTCACTAGCATTGTCTATTGTTGCAGCTATTATCTTTATGTGCAAATTTGCTGATACTAAAGATTCCATAAGAAATGTTATTGTGAATCAGTAATCGTAAGGTGATGAAAAATATCTAGTCAAGAATGCAATCACGCAACGTCTAGGTATCATCAATCCAATGAAGCGTAATCACAAAACAACTTCACAGAGTTTTGGTGGACCATTCATCACAAAAATTTGCAACTATTCCTATAATTACTTCTACAATATCACAAAATTGCTTGGTTGCAGTATTCATCTCATGTGATGTGACATGTAAGACTTCTCCGCGAATAGCCAGGCCAAAACGATTTAGACCGTTCATCATTTGTTTGAAGAAAGTTGACTGCACTGAAAAAAAAGCTCTACTTTGTGTAAATCACTCAATTTACCACATTGGTCATGATGTTTGTCTTCACCTCGTCATACGTCGTGCACTTCTAAATATGAACCGAATTTGAAGAATGTGGTTTGAAAAAGATCATCTATCAATGCATCTTCAAGTGATTTGCGAGTGATGCAATGATTGTTCTTCAAATGAAGAACAAGATTTGAGGTCACTGAAGTAATTGAATAATTTTTTGAACAGGATATGCTCGTAATGCAAATAAGTTTATTGGATCTTGATACATGTACAAAGAT